CTATTATTTATTATTCGTTTTCGTTCTTGTTCTTTGTCGCATTAATTTTTTCTCTCTATTAGCGTGTAATATGCATATTTTATAATATATATATATGTATGTATATATATATATATATATGTATGCATATCGCATGTATCGATATCACAAATCAATCATAAAATTATAAAACAGATTAATCATTGTCGTGATCATTAAAAATATAACAATTGATATTTTAATTGATTTAAAAGGTCATGAAACATAAGAGACAAATATTATTAATAATATTAATAATTAAACCAATACAAATTAATAATCTCAATTAATCATTAACAATTAATAATTGACCATTATTGACAATTAATGAATTATTAAATTAATGAATATTTATTTTTACAGTCAAAATTATTTATCTATTTGCTTTTATATTTCAACATACATGTATACACGCGCATGCATATGTACAGTGAGAATAATGATAATAGTAAATATTATATATTATATTTTATTTTCGAATCTAAAAATTTTACTTCGTTATAATAAAACTTTCTTTCGAAATTGTATTCTCGATGGGAAAACCAATAAATAATATAAAATCAATTCGTAGCGATCATATATATAAGTATATAATGAAAAGGAAAAATGTTTATGATCTATGAATTTTTGATTTAAACGTATTATAGATGAATGATAAAAATTTCATAAAATGACTTGCTATGAACGTTTAAATGTTTACATGGTTGTATCGAGTATTCGATCGATCCTGTTCTATTAATACTCCATATATTTTATACGCGCAGCTGCCGTGCACCTATAGCGAGTCTAGATTGCATGGAAGAATTCAACGGCGGAGGCGGTGGTGCCGGTGGTGGTGGCGGTGGCGGTGGCGGTGGCGGTGGTGGTACTGTGGATTCTGGTATACACTGCAGTAATACCGCTGGAACGAAGGAACAGCTACTGACTAACTGCATTGCCGCACAAGCGCAACGCTTACAGCATCCTTCGCCAGGTATTCGCTACCGCAACTTGGGCAAAAGCGGTCTACGTGTTTCCAATGTTGGATTAGGTACGCTGAATGTTTTCCTCCACTTTCGTAGAAACGATCAGAATCGCGATTACCCATTTATTTTATTCTTAATGTATGCTTTAAAGTATATCTTTTTCTTAAGTAGTATCTTGCCAATAATATGTTAACAATATTTTTTTTATGCTTTAGAATAAAATGAAAATTATGCTTTTCTATGATCCATCAGCAATTTTTCGACGCTTTTAACTTTTTACTATTTCTATATTGTTTATATCTTTATTTTTTTTGTTTTTTTTTTCTTTTTCACATTGGAATTTATTGATGGAACCTTATCATCTGTTAATGTAAACATACAAGCTTTTTATGTAAGTATGTTCTTCTAAAATCTATTCAACAAATCAGCTGTTTTAAACAAATGCACGTGAATAAGTAGAATAAGAATATATTATGAACTTTTCAAACGATTATAATTATTACAGAAATTTTTATGTATTATTATTATTATCATTATTATTATCAGATTATTTATTGTAAATAAAAATATAAATATATAATAAAAATAATAAAAAATAACATAATAAGTATATAAAAAGCAAGAAATAAATAAAAAATCAACTATAATGATTTGATTCATTTTATGAAATGACAAATTCTATACTGGAACCAATAATAGTGGCAATTCATGCTAATTAATAAATGTAACCTATATGTATATAGATACATATACATATTTTTATTTATAATTATATATAATGTCTTGATTCGTTGAATAGATATTAATCAAATTTATGCAATGAATAAAAAATAAATAAAAATGTATACTATATGTAGTCAAAAAAACGAATATAACGATATGCATATTTATATTTATTGTTATTTTTGTTGTCATCGTTGTTGTTATTGTTATTATATCCGAAACTGCTTATTAAAATTGTATATAGAAGATGCAATAAAAAATGCTATTTGAAGCTTTAATTTAAGATAACATTGATACAACAAATTGTTATAAACAAATGTTTTATAAATATATAAAATTCAAGAATGGATTTCTTAGGTGAGTAATGAAGGAAAGAAAGGAATGAAAGAAATAAGAAAAAGTTGATTATTATATACGAGAGATAATAAATTATGATTTTGTAGTTAAGCATATTCATGGATTATATAATAATGATAATAAAAACTAAGAGGTAAGTAGGTATGTGTAATGATTTAAAATCTATTTTTGAATCTTGTATGAAAACGGTGTATAAAAACATGGAAATATTATAATAATTGTTAGAAATGAAAAATTAAATCATATGCGGCAACTGAAAACGGTTGAATGAATAAAATTACTTTATATCTTTAGGTACATGGACAACTTTTGGCATGGGAGGTTGCAGTAATGAAGAAACAGCAGAAGCTGTAGTTGCCCTAGCTTACGAAAGTGGAATAAATGTGTTCGATTTGAGCGAAGCCCATAGCGGTCATAGAGCAGAAATTCAATTTGGACGAATTTTATTACGTCGTGCTTGGAATCGTTCAAGTTACGTTGTTACCACTAAAATATATTGGAATACGAAGTAAGTATCGGTCAAATTATTACTGAAGTTATAGATATGTAAAAAGTGTTAATATGTTATCGAATATCATTCGAGGATCAATTTTAGAAATTAAAACAAATACAATAGAAATAAAAATAAAAATAATTATTTATTAAGTTATGAGTAATTTAAATTTATATTAGATGAAACAAGAAAATAGAATGATATAGCTCTATTTTTGTACTGTTTATATCGAATTAATTTGGTCTGTTTCTAGTTTGCTTCATCTAACGTTATATAATTGTTCAATAATTTAATAAATAAGCAACATTTTTGCATATCAACTTTTTTATTTATTTTAATCTTTAAAATTAGTTCTTTAAAAATATATCATAAATATATTATGTAAAAAATTTTAGAAAATTATTACATTTAAATATGTATATTAT